ACACACACACACACACACACATATATAATTTTTGTAATTAGAAAAATTATTTTATAATGTACTTTGTGCCATAATATTGGCAAATGGTTATTATGTGAAGTAATCACTCCAGCAGTGGCAGCGTGTCTTAACATTTAGAACTTGGTAAGAATTCTTGAACATAACTTTATTAGCATAACTTGAACAACTGTTTATGTGCTTAGGATATACAAAATCTTGGAGCAGGTAGTTTCATTCTCAGGGTAGTTGAGAAAACAATGTATGAATCAACTAAAGATGAATCTAAATTCAGTATAAATAAGACAGTTCAATAATGAAGAATTATTTGTGTGTTTCATCATCTTTCCAGTTTTGAGCTTATGTTGCTTGCCCTATGAGATTTCACAGGATTTATTACTATTTTCTTGAAAACTTTTCTTTTGTAGTTTTCCTTTAATATGGAAGTTAACTCAGAATACTTGATAGCTCTGTTACATGAACTTCTTAAACTGTTTCCATGATTTGTGAGCCTTAAGATTGCTATTTTGGAAGTATTTTATATGCAGTTATTCAAAATTAATTTTCTTAACAAAGGCCATCATGGTAAAAATGAAGTAGTTAATCCTGGGCTTTATATTAGGCCAAGGAGCCTTGTTATCATTTCTCAGCCCTTCTACATACAGTAACATAAATCTGGGCTCTGCATCTGCTTATAAAATTGTGGAGGACAGACAGTAATCACATAAAGAAGGTAAAGATGTTTGAAATACATGATGTTCAGTAAAATTTTGTTGGTTGAATTTCTTAATAAGCAAAGTAAAGAGCATAAAAAGAGTGAATAGGAACTCAGATTAGAAACATAAACCATCATGCTAAGGTGAGAACCAAACTAGGTTTTAATTTTTGAAGAGTATAAGGGAGGTACAGTATTTAGAGAGGAGAAAAAAAATACTGTTTTTTTTCATAGCTAAGTGCATTTGTTTTGTCACTACGTTATTTTCTTATGAAAGATATATTCATATTTATTATGTAATTGAAGTATTTCAAAACAAACATGTTTGTGATAAGTTAAGCTTAGAAAAATAAGATATAAATAACCCCTTATTTTTTTTTAAGTTCTCTGAAGTCTGCTAAATATTATATTTTTTTATACTATATGAGATGGGAAAAAAGTTAATCACAAGTAATTCAAAATACAAGTATTTATGGAAATTGATATAACTTAAGTATTGAGCGATAGTTTAGGAAACACTAATGTTTGACTTTTTAAATATGTAGAGTTGATAATATTGATAAGCTTTAAAATACAGTGGTTTGTAGGTCTGGGGATTTAGCTCAGTGGTTCTGCTGCCCTCGCAAGCGCAGGGACCTGAGTTGGATCTCCAGTACCAAAAAATAAAGCAGTGGTTTGTGAACACCTTCAATATATTGAGATAGGAAAGGTTGTCCATAAAACTAAATTTTAATTGTTCTAGTTTAAAAATAGTTGCCGCTGTCTTCTAGGTATAGAGCACCAAGACTCACAGCATTCTTTCTTGGCATTTTTGAATACGCCTACCGATGCTCTGGATCAATTTGAAGTAAGTATTACACTTTTCAAATATCCTCTATGGTCAATTTGAAGTTCTTTTTGTGATTTAAACTTCACTTGGAATAAGCCTGTTTTATTGCACCTCACATAAGAGAACCTGGAATCTTATATATGCAAAAACATAGTAGAGAAGGTATATGTTCTGCATTCTTATGCAAAGTACAGTCACACATGTATTTAACAAACATCTAAGAAATGTCTAAACATAAAATTCATTGTTAGATTTGAAAGTACTTTCAGCTCCCTTAAGAAAGAATAAAAGCAGAACAAATTATAACTTTGGGAATAATTTTGACGCTTTTTTTTTTTTCCTCCAAAGCATAGAGCTACAATAAAAAAAAAAGTTAGGGCCAGGGCTTTATCTCAGTGGTGCCGCTGTAAGTGCTTACATTTAATTTGATTATTAGTGATTTGTCATGAGCTTCATTTGTTTTGGGCATCATATATGAATTATATTTCATTCCCTTAGGAAAGGGAAAAGAATGGCTTTTAAAATATAGTTTATTTGGGTTTTTTTGTTTGTTTGTTTGTTTTTTTGAGACAGGGTCTCACTATGTAGTTGAGATTGACCTGGAAGTCACTATGTAGTCCAGGCTGGTCTCGAACTCATAGTGATCCTCGTGCCTCAGCCTCCCGAGTGCTGGGATTACAGGCGTGCGCCACCATGCCCGGCCCTAAAATGTAGTTAATGAATCTCTAAGCTTCTTGGAAACAGTGACAGTGACTGCTTTCTCATTTATTTATTTATTTATTTATTTATTTATTTATTTATTTATTTATTTATTTATTTATTTGAATTAGTGTCATTTGCCTTTCAAATGTTTCATAAAATTTTGATTTATCATTTGTTCTTATTGAATTGCTTCATCCATATTTTCTATTTTTTTATTGCTGTATTCGTTAAATAGGATTCCTTTTCTTCTTCCTCATCCTCACTGATTGATTTTTTGGATGACGTAAGTCTTTGCTTTTCAAACCAATGCATCCTTCTGTAAAAGAGATTAGTGAATTGATTTGAAGAATTTCCTTAGTAATGCAGTCAGTTTTTGAAATATCACTCATAGAAATTTATCTTGGGCCAACAATATGCTTCCTCATTATCGTAAATATAATGGTTTATGACTTTTAAATATAATAAAGTAAAAAAATAAACTTTGAGAAATGCTTTGGCTATCAGAGAATCTCTGTATTCCTATTCTTTGCAAGAATTCCAGAGACGAGTGCCTAGTCACTATGTATACAAACAATTGCTCATTTTTATCTTTCATGATGATTTCTATTTTACTTTCCCTTTTTCTTTTCAGTATTTTACTTTTCTAGGTTGGATAAAAATAAACCTCTGGTGGTATAATCAGAAAGTAACATTTTAAAAATTAAATCTTCCAATAGAATTTATCATAACATAAGAGTACCAATCGATTTCCAGTGCTAACACAATTTCTCTTCTGCTGTGGAAAGTGATTTTAGTTAGAATATGCACCATTTGCCTATAAATTGACTGCATTATCATTTTCTATCCTTAATTCTATAGATTTAATAATTGAAACTTCTATTAAGTGTGTATAGTATCGCTATAGTATTGCCTGTTATACCTTTTATGTATTCCACATTTGGTGGCACAATGATCCTTGTTGTATAACATTTTGTTATTCTGTGGAACATTCAGACTTTCCAGAAATGAGGAAATAAAATGAATTCAAATGCAAATCTTTTACTTAGAACTGTTTTCAAACTGAAGAAGTATTCTTTAAATGTTTTATTTGTTGTGTTTTGTTAAATAAAATATAACATTCAGAAGAAAATTTAGCATTATTTTCCACTAAAGGAACTTCTTGTTCTGAATTTTTTCAAATTAATGAACTAATGTGATTTTCATAGTTTTGAAATATTTATAACAAGCAATACATATTTCCATTGTACATGGAAACTTTTGTTATTTGTGAGACAAAGAATTACTCTAATTCTATAATGTAATCAAATAATTGTGCAGATAAATGCTAGTGCATTTTATAATCTTCTGTTTAGTATATTGAAATACACAATATGTTATTTCTATACAGATATCATTCACCTTAGAATGAGAAGTGATTTTGAGTAATGTATTTCATTCTTTTCCCTAGAAAGCCATTTTTACTTTTTTTCTAACAAATTCTTGCCTTTGACATCTCCTTGCCTGTAAAAAAAATCTCTGATGGTAAAACAGAAGTATTATGCATTTTGGCAAATAAACAAGCTCTTCTTCACAGAAGATCCTTTAGGAATGCACACCTCTGCCCGGGCACTGGCTTATTTTCATTCTCTTGCACACATTGCCACTATCACCCTCCAGATGTAATGGGTGCCCGAGTCACAGCTATTTTCCTGCTGTAACTTTTTCTCAAGGAGTATCCTTTCTTATCTTTCACTCACTGTTACACAGTACAAACTATTCAAAAATACATTAAATTCTGTAATAGTGCAAAGGAATGCCTAATATAAAGTAAAAAGGAATTGAAGCTGCCCAATCTTTGATTCTTACTCTAGGTCATAAAAGGATTTTAAATATACATTTTCCTATTTTATTGGTAAAACACATATCCCAGTTCTAATTTCACTTTCTAGGTATATAGTTTGGACAAAGTCAATTAACCTTTCCATGCCACAGTTTCTTCATCTGGCAATAAAAATAGTAATAGTGGTCTGGGGATTTAACTCAGCGGTTCGGTGGCCTGCCTTGCAAGCACAAGGACGCAAGTTCTATCCCCGGTACCAAAAAAATAAATAAAACTTAAAGTAAAATAAAAATAAAAATAGTAATAGTATTTAATGTCATGAATTGATTTAAAGATTTAAGGAAACTATGTAGTATCTTTACTAATATTGGTATTTTTTCTTCACTTTTAATAGGCTGATTTCTCAACCTTCCTCAGTTCTCTTTAGTTTCCTTTTTTGTTAATTCTCTTTCACTTAGCTGATTTCTTAGGTCTTCATCAGCCTACTACCACACTAAGAATCACATTTCCTTTTGAATTTTCAAAACCAATTCTATTGGGAATGAATTTTATCAGAATAAAAGTCAACAGTAAGCTCTCATTTAAAATTTTTTTCTTTTCTATTTTTATTTTCTTAATTTATATTTTATGGCACAAACTTCTTGCTTTTGTTTCTTTTTTATAGCTATAACAAATCTTCCCAGAGTTACCCATTTATTTACTTTATCCTCAAAGTCCGAGTGCAATGATGTTTTGAACAGTAATACTCAATCTTTGTCATGCTTGCTTTCAGCATCCAAGATATTTAGTATAAAAAGTCCTGTAGCTCTCTCTTAGGCATTTGAATTCTTAAAGGACAAATCAAATCTTGATTGTTCTTTCTGCCAGATCTGCTATTTGGTTATATTGTTGTACATAATGCTGATAATATGTAACTTCCCCCTAGTAAATAGGTTACAATATTTAATCCATAACACCATCTTTCTGTTCATTCTTTTCTGTTTTCTCTCTCATTGCTATAAAAAAGATAATGCTGATGACCTAAAATCTGAATTTCAGCTGTAACTTGTAGACATAGGAGAGAGTAAGGTTCGTATTAAGCAAAATTCTAGAAATCAACTTTCCTTTGGTGTCTACACATCACCTTTCTCTGTACCCAAGAGTTCATTGTCCTCATGCTGCCCTTTTGAGTTTTCAGTTTTACCACTGGTAAATATCCTCCAAAATTACCTTCTGTTTTTTTCCTTCTGTCTTTATCCTCATATCAGGCTAGTTAAAACTGTGATTTCTTCCCTTAATTTTCTCAGCATGTTTTACCTGCTAACTCAAAATTCAAATGAATATTGGAATTTTTGGCTATATTGGAGGGTGTTCAGAGCAACATGCTTTCCTTTTAAGTCACACTGTGTAAAAGTGGCCTTGACAGAAGGGAAGGGGTATATGTAATACCTATCACTTCCTTCCCCCTGAGAAAATGAGAACAACCAGACAAAGCAGAATGTGATCTCAGCACTTGGCTTCTGTACTTCCGGAGGCTGTAGATATTTGGACTTTCCTACATGTAGAGTAGTAAAATTTTTTTTAATTTGTTTGTTTTTGTACTAGAATTAAACTTGTGGCCTTTGCACTAAACTGTTTCTCCAGTTATTTTCTTACTTTTAATTTTGAGAAGGGGCTGTGCTTGGTCACTGAATTGCCAAAGTGAGGCTCAAATTTTAGTCCTCCTGCCTAAGCCTTCTATAGTGCTGGGACTACAGGTGTGCACCACCACATCCAGCTAGTCTTAGGCTTTTAATGGAAAGAAGAACCTGAGGAGATATTTAGTGTAGGTTTTTACCATTATTATTTATAACTTCCCTTTAGTAAGAGCAGTCATAAGAATGACATTTTAGGTTCTTAGTCTTTGGAGGAGAAAGGAAGGGGAAATAAAGGGCTATTCAAGGCATTTGTTTGGATTCAGAAGGGAGGTTTGGGTTAATTTTTTAAAAAATCAAGATCACTTTGATGAGTTGTCTCTTGGCATTCCTGTATTAAGAAAGCAGTAGAAGTGATTCCAAGAGCCTTTCTGCTTTGTAAATTCACGTCTCTTCTACCCTCATCTTTTTCCTCAGTTGTTTATGCCCAATTCTAGATTGCTTGTGCTTCATCCATATTAGGCCCAGTCTCATTCTTCTAATAACCAATGGGGTGAGAACACATGGAACCTGGTGGTGTGGATTTTCGTATTTCTCTCTCCTGTCCTTTCCCTTCATCTCAGTAGTTATAGATTCAGGGGTCATCAGACTAAGTTTACAACAGCTTCCTACTCTATTCAGTTCATTTTCTTCTTTCAGCTAAACCAAAGTAACACTTGGATTGACTGTATTAAAGGTAATGCTAATTATAGTCATATACATGACCTGTGTGTGCTTTATATTTGATAAACATATTGTCACATATATTTGCTAGGTAAGTTTTGATTTCTATTAAATTACAAGTCTACATTCTATCAATTTGGTTGATAGAGTTTTCCACAAAAATGGATATTACCTGGTTTGTTGGCAGATAGAAATGTACTCTGACTTGCTTTTTGAAAGTTTTCTTACTGTAGTAGTATACCCAGCAAAGAATAAATCAAGGAATTAAAACTGGTTTGTAAAGGTGAGACATGGAAGAAAGATTATCTTGGTCTACCTCATGTTGCTGTCCTTTCTCATTTGCAAGCATATAAGACAACTGAGCAGGCAGAGTTCTCAGCTTGGTTTTGTTTTCATATGTAATCTTACTAAGATGTCCTAGAATATTTAATCTCAGTCATGGCTCCTCCCTTCCTTTCTTCTTTCATTTCTTGATTTTACCATTGCTGTTTCCTACCCTCTTTTACATTCTCTTATAACGAAGCATGATGACCTGAGACTTAAGAGCAGAGTTCTAGCTGTTTCTGGAAAGGGTAATAATCATGAGAATCAGTAGACTATTGTAAAACTTTTATTGTAAAGATTTCTTTACTCCTATGACCAAATTTAGGACTAGCTCCTTCTGATAAATTATGGCATTCCTGAAATGTCCTTCTTTGCTTCTTGTTTTTAAGTTTTCCATCCAAAAACAAAATAAAAAAATGGAATAGAATAAAACTTCCATCCACATAATTCAGCACAACCCAACTTGAAGATCTCATTTTTCAGAAAATTATTACATAGAGTCCTTCCCCAATTAAGGCAAAACAGACTGAGTATCCCTTAATTAAAATACTTTGAACCAAAGTATTTGATGTTGGTGTTTTCTAGATTTGGGAATATTTGTTCAACCCAAAATCTTCTGATGCCTAAAAACTTTCAGCTGTCAGATTTCAGGTTTTCACATTAAGGAAAACATAAGGTTTTCACAACCTGTATATTATATTGTATATCCTTGTATATATTTTTATTATGTACCTTATATGATATAATATATTCAGGTTATATAGAGGGAAAAAAGTATATGTACATTACCATCTCTTCCTTATTTGGTATTTTATTAAAACTGCCAGAATTTATTAACTGAACCTTAAAAACTCTTAAACAAATTGTGTACCCTTAAGATTCATTATTTGTTGATTTATGTTCTCTTGCTTATCTTTTAAAGTTTTGGTGGCGGTTCATAGATGTAAAACACATGTTTAAGGTGGTACATGAGTCAACATTAAGACAAGGTACTGGTCAGCAGTATTTTCCATGAATACAATTTTATTATTTATAAAAACTATAGCTTATGGATATGTTTGGAGGTAGTGGCAAATGTTTTTCTCTAAGCATATTTCAGGAAAAAAGTATAATTAAGCCTTTTCTGTTGAGCACATTGGTAGAAAATGTTGCTGTGTTGGTAGGGTGATTTAATGTTTTTATTAGCTTTAGGTCATGTCAGCTAGAAAATGTGTTGTACTTCCTATGCAAAGATAATTTTGAGAGACATTTGGACTATTTTCAGTATAGTGATACTGTATTTATTTTGAGATATTCGTGATCTTTTTCATATTTTATCACACTCCAGACTAGTCAAGAAGTAGATATAATAAAAAACTAAAGATTGCTCTATATTGAACTTTTGGCACTTTTTACATGTGTAGACTATACCCACTGGTGGCTACAAAGATAAGTTAGGTACAGAACTAGACCTCAAAGTGTTTGTTGGTTAAAAGAGATAGGACATAGCTGGGAACTATGTAATGTAGAAAGCAATAAATGGTATTTGAAACACCTAGGGTAACTGTTATGGAAGTTCAGAACAATTTCTTCATTACTGAAAATTTTTAAATTGGCAGGCTGTCTTCCAAATATAATAGGGCATTTCTACCCTAAAGAATCTGACAACCTGGTGGAAAACATGCATATATAAACAGACTATTATCACACCGTGCAGGGAATAACAATAGTAATAGATATGAGAGGACAAAGGAGAAATATCTCTAGCTGGACCAGAAGGATCCAGAAAAACTTTCCAAAAGAAGTAATGCCTGAGTTGAATCTTCACAGATCAGGATTGTAGGCAGGCAGAGTATGGGAGGAAGGCTGAAAGGAAGGACAGAAGGAGGTTTTCAGTTTGCTGAAAGCAAAACGGATGATGTTCAAGAATTGATGAGAAACAAGTTTGAAGATGTAAGCAGGGACCAAAATCAATTGAGCTTATACTCTGTATTATGAAATTTAGATTTGATCTACCCCTGTGTAATAATCACTAAAGGATTTAACAGAGGAAAAGGGTGAAGTGACAGTTTCATTTTGAGCAAGTTAAGTTGAAAATAGTAACATCCATGTGGAAATGTCCAGCAGACAGATATGTGAGGGAAAAGCTTAAAGAAGAACACTGAACTGGTGGTGGAGATGAATGATCAGCATAATTGAGAGTGGATGCCATGTGCTCAAGAGAAGATAGTAGCATGAGAAGAACAGTGAGCCCAGAAGAGACATTTGACGTCCTCAGCATGGAAGAGGGAGGATGACAGGACTCCACAGAAGAGGAGGAGGAGCAAATGATTGGGAAAAGCATGCTGTCACAGCACTAAGGGAGGGATTTGAAGAGGAGACTGTTCAGAACCAGAGGTGGCTTGTCAGATCATTGGGCACAGGGTCGCAGCATCCTCACCTTAGACTGATCAAAGCAGGGAAAAGCCAGATTGGAATTGAAAAGTAAATTGGAAGGTTAGAACGTGAAGGTAGTGATTGCCTACTGTTCTAAGGAAAGTTTGAATCTGACTGAGAAGGTTTGAATTCTAGTTCCACCATTTACCAGTTTTAAAACCTTGGTCAAGTTCATCTGTTTTCTTTATCTTTAACATAAGATTCATAATACCTACTTTATTAGGGTTTCTATGAGAATTAAGAGAGTTTATATGTGGAAGCCAGTTTTGGAAAGTACCTTTATATATTCTACATGTGACAAATATTAACTATTATGATTATTAAGGAAAGAGATTGATAGTTACAGGAAGGATTGGGAACTGATTTGTGGTTTTTTTTAGGGGGGTGGTTTGGTTTTGTGGATGAGAGGGTAAGAGAGGTATTCTGCCTTCCTATTAATAACTGCGGGTAGGGCTGGGGATTTAGCTTAATGGTACCACCCCTACCTCACAAGCACAAGGTCCTGAGTTCGATCCCTGGTACTGGAAATAAAGAAACAAACAGAGGGTAAGTAACCCAGTTTGATCCTGAGAGTTTACCCTCTATAACTGACCAGACCAAGAAACAAAAACTTGTTTAGAAATATATAGGTCTTTTAATCTTGGTTTATAATTAGCTCTTTGGGACACAGGAGCCATTCAACTTTCTTATAGGAAAAAAAAGTTCCTATTTACCCATCTGCTAGGAATTGTACCTCAGGCCTCACAAATGATGTTATGTGAGCTCTCTACTGCTGAGTTATACCCGCAACGCTTGCTTACTTAATCTTCAATATCTGAAAGTGAAGGTCACTCTTGAGTAAACCTAAAGTCTAGTGAGGATGGATAGTATTGCTGAAATAACTGTTATGATCTGTTAGCAATACTAATGAGTTCCTAATTTAGCTGTTAAAATTTAAAAACCATATTTGAAAAGAAGAATTTGGAAGGTAAATGTATAAAACGAGGCTAGTTAATAAAATGCTTACTAGCGCCAAAAATTATTTATATTCTTTTTTGTTGTCAAATGTTTTAGTTTACTGCTGCCAACATTTCTGGAAAAGAAATTGTCTCTCATTTGATGTGTTATTTTGTGGGTCACTGCATGGGCCCGTGACAACTTGATCATCAACTTTAGACCAGGCCTAAGCAAGTGTTTCTTAACTGTCTTATCCTCTAGTTTTTCCTGAAAATATGTGTACTGTCAATCTATCCAAAGAAAGTGGCTTCATATGTGTGTTTATAGACTTATGTGCTGATATTATAGGCACGGCAAGTCTTCTCTGTGTAAATCTTTGTAACATGTAGTGTTCTCCTTTCTCCGTTGAAGCGCTCTCCATCCTGTACTCCAGCTAGCAAAGGCAGACGTGTAAGAGACTATTGCACTGTGTGTACTCATCCCAACGCCCTCTGCCTCTTAGCCTTTGCTTGTGGTTGCAGAACATGTGAACATTTGTGTGATGTATTATTATCCTGGCTGCATGCTTTGTGCTGCTGCTTCTGCTGTTGCTAATCTGCTTTCCTGTATGTTTTGCCTTTTTATGATTTTGTTTTGTTTTGGCTTTGGCCGTAAAGCTTTAGGAATGATCATATAAATTACTGAAACCAAACTACTAAAATAATAAGACATTTTTTTGTTTTGATTGGGGACAAAAATGATCCTAAAGGATGCTGTCTAAACTAATTAAATACAAAGTAGATGAGTTTCTAAATAAGAATATAATATAAGCAAATACATAGATTTTGATACACTATTTTAGAAAGAAAACATGATAATTTGTATTGCACAAAATTCAGAAAAGATTTGGGACAAATTATAGACCTTATTGACTATGGTTTTATGTAAATAAGTTTTCAAGAACTCTTCCTTTGTTTTTTTTTCTTTGTTTTAAATATGGTTCAAAGGAATCCTAAATATCTTGTAGACTTGGGAAAATCATGTTAACAATAAATTTTATTTATTCTAAAGTAATTTCAAGATTTAAAAAATACCCATAACATTCTTCCTATACGTATTATTAACAAATTATAAAGTACTTCCTACTAATGCTAGCTCCTTGTTTCTCATTCTGAAATGGTTTAGCCACTACCCCATCCTACAAGATTTTCATTGGCCAGAGTGAGGGATCTCTATGTGGAAATATCTCAAACATTTCTACATCGGCCTCTATCCTGGCAGCAGCTACACCCTTATACATACTGTACTCCCCAGCAAAGAAGCAATAGGCTTACTGGTACTCAGATTTTCATGTAGTACAAAAAAAAAGCAGTAACTTTAAAAAAAGAAAGTCAGTGTGATAGATAAAAGTTTTTACCTTTTACCTATCAGTTTCATGATAACAGATTGACTAAGACCTTAAATCCAGTGTTCTTGGGTCTGAAAAGCTCTAGACCAAGTAATGACCTGGTTTGTGGAAGGTGTGGGAGGCAGTAGGGTGGCTCATTGATTCCTGTGCATTTTCCAATGTGATGGAGGATTGGTTGTCAAATAAATGTACATACTACTCACATCACATACATTTTCAGAGTAGTGTTTAATAATAAACAATTCAGCTATCACTGTTATGTCCAGGAAAATTATGAGATCAGTTGATATTATTGAGATCTATGATTGCTGATTCACCTGATTTCTTATTTTTTATTTGTAGAGTTAAAACTATTAAATACTTGGATTTATCAAATTTAAGTATATGTTAACTATTTCATATACCCTCTAGAGGGGAAGACCAAAATATTATATGCCCAATTGTATTAGATTCACATCATCAGCCTACAAATTGAGTTAATTTATAATTGCTTGTTTTTGAAGAGACTGTCATTCAGAAAGGTTTGGTTTTCTGCTTAATTTTATTATGGATTATTTACATATTGCATGCCATGTGGACTTTGAGTATTGGCCACCTACAGCATATCTATGAATCATGAAAAAAGGAAAACTGTTTGGGGAAAATGACTGTTACAAGATCCCTACTTTTAATTGTCTTTCATCTGTCGAATCTGAAAAAGCAAAAATTAATCAAAACCTGTGTACACAAAGTTACATATGATTCTTTTTTCATGCAAAGTTGGTAGATTTGATTATCTGCTTTCTTAGATTCTTTCAGTTTTTCCTGAGCTAAGTATCTGATAAATAAAAGGTAAACCAATAAAAAGTAGTAATTTGTGTGAAGAAGATAGTTGAAGAATTATGAATTATTCAGTAGTTAAATAGAAATATCTTAGTGGCATAGTGAGGAGCATTAGTAGTCCCTGAGACATAAGTATATTACTTCAGTAGGATACAAATACTTACTATTCTTAACAGTGGCCTTGAATCTAAAAGTGGCATGTGACTTCGTGTTATATACTATGTTTTTAGATAAATAAATATGCAGTACATATATAAAGTTCATTTCTTTCACTGTGAAATGTCATAGAAATCATCAGGTATCATTGAATAATGTTTGCCATCTCCTTATTTTAATGTGCTATTTCACCTCATTTATAGTTTGAATACCTATGTTCTTTTCAAGTGGTGTTAAGCATAGTATAAAAAAGATTTACCAGGAATAGTATTTTAAATGTCCAAATACAGATGGATAGAGTTCTTTAGTGCTTCCATTAATAGTGAAAAATACTGAGTGTCTCATTTTAGATTGTTCCTTTAGAGTTTGGAGCAGAGATTATAAAAAGCCAATGTGTGGTTTAACCTTCTGTTGTATTTTCTTATAACAGTTAATAATTTGCTAGAGTAGATTTTCAGATCTGTCTATCTATACTGAAGTAATGAGAAATTTCCTTATAGAGAATCAAGTTACATTATTTTGTTACACTTATTAGTCATAATTTTCAGTAATTTGTGGTTATTTTAGGATAACATATTTAGTATTTTCCAAATACAGTATACTGTATTAGAAATACTGTTTTTGTCATAAATTCAACTAACAGAAATGATTATTTCACTAAATGTTCTAAAGTTAAGTGTTGTCAATACTAAATTATTAATTTGTTATTTGCTTCCAAAATACATCTAACTAAATAACAGAAAAAAATGATAAAATTTTTTCTGAACTTAGTTTTTATACAATATTTACCAATACAAATAACACACTAGATTTAAGCTGTTTTTTTTTAACTACATTGACCATTTGTAATCCATATCAAGTTTTGAGATCTTTTATTTTAAAACCAAGTTTCTTCTTAGAGTAACTATTTGTACAAATCTGTGTTAATTGGGGTATAGGCAAGGCTTCTTTATACATATTCAAGATAAATAGGTTTAGTTCTTTTTATAATTTGGGGAATTCCTAATGAGTATGTCACCTAAAAATCAGACAATTGGGTAAGGGGAAAAAATGATAACCAAGACCTATCATGTAAAGGTACAAGATCCCGATGATGAATGTAACTGTACTGTATACCTAAAATGTACCAATAAACTCAATGAGAAAAGAAAAATCAATTGCATGATCACAGCCAGAAAAAAAAAATTTTTGTTTTACTATACTGCAGTAAGTCCCCGACTTACAGTTACATTCTAGGAGAATTGTTCCTAAGTCGGATTCATCCCTAAGCCAACAAAATGAGTCTTACACAGTACCCCTGTGAAAGTTCACAACTCAAATGTTCATAAGTTGCGGACTTAGTGTATTCCAGAAATATATTGTGCAGATCTTTTACAATAAAAATCCTGAATAGATTTAAGGGATGACAACATTATGCATTGTAGACAATATCAAATATTCAGCTTTTCTACTTTTTTTTGTATAGTAGAACATTCAGTAAAAAATCACACTAGATACAGTGGATGTCTCCAGTGCCTGTTCATCAGAAATACTTATGCTAACTTAGGCAAAAAGCAGTTGTTTTGTCATGGAAAAAGGGGCCTATGTTACTTTTTCTCAGCAGATTGTAGCTTACAAATATTGAATGAATTGGTTATTCTGTTAAATTTGTTTCCAAAATTTTCTTTGGACACTATAAAAATATATTGTCCAGTAAATATTAGCTGTTTATTGTTTTTTACTGTTCTCCCTTTTTATCATTATTTTTGCAATCATAAATCCCATTATTAAATTAACATTCCCTTTTAATATATAGTAAATGTTGCTGCATTATTCATTTAATTGCTTATACTTGCTGCTATATTTTTCATGCATAATGGATTTTTTTACCTTCCATGGTTTAAATATAATGATTATATGGTTTTAAGGTTTTAAAACATTGTATAAAAATAACATGTTATTAATTAGTTACTGTAGTGCCATACTATAATTCATTATGAATTATTAAAATTGATTTCAGACTTTAAAAAATTTTAGCATATAATAATTGAGTATTCTTGAGGTTTAATTGACTTAATTGCTTCTTAATGATTAGAATAAGCCATTAATTACAGATGCAGGGTATGCATTTATAGCTAAAAATTACTAACATCTTGAATAGCACATTTGTGTTTGTGATAATTAAAACTGGTGACTATGTAAAACTTTTTTATTATTTGTATAGTTAAATCATAGTTGAGATAATATTTATACAGGCAGTATCCAGAAAGAAAATAAAATATTAAAATTTATTAATAGCATTAGCTGTCTACTTCTAGTAGAATCTTTTTAGAAGATTTAGAAATTTTTTTGTTTGATATTCAAACTTTTTTTGCCATAAGTTTAATCATCTTTATCAAGTGTTTTTTATCTTTATAAGGAACACACTTTTAAAAGTAAAGTGATAATTTTTTAATTACATATGCATGGTGGGTTTTTAAAAAATCATCATTGTAAGTGGCATAGTTCAATTTTTAATATGCTAAATTAATGTCATCTTTAAAATATTCTAATATATTTACTTTTAATTTTTTTAAATTAACTTGATTTTGTTTAACCTGAAATTGATTTTTACATTAAAAACATACAGCTATAAAATTTTTCATTTTATTAGAATTAGTATTGGTTTATAATTTTATTTTAAATATTTTCTTCTTCTGAATATAACCAGCTTTTCCTCATCCAGCTAAGAAAATTACTCCTTTGTATTGTTTTCTTTTTTATTGAAGAGAAATATCTAGTTAGAAGGGAAAGATTTAACAATTGTCAGCAGTTCTTTAGAAGAAGTGTGTTAAAAGCCTTAACAGTCAGTGATTTGTATGATTACAGATTAAATGGATAGTGGATTTTTCTTTCTCCAGCATCCCACTTTGGTGATGTCACATTTTCAGAGGGTCTTAAAACATGCTGATAAATGCTTTAATTGCCCACTTTGGATTAGGTGCAGAGCTGAGGGTTGCTGATGTGGTGTTACAGACATCTGTTAGATCACCTACAGACAAAATGACTGAAAGCAGCATATGCTAATTTCAGTACAAGACATTATAAACTGGTATGCTCAACTTCTGTCCACACATAATCACGTGGTACAAGGAGAAAGCCTGCTGTCAGGCTTCAGCAAGTTCTTGCCTTTATCAAGTTGTGTACATTAAAGCTAGTGTTTTTGGATCACACATCCCTAATGTGAATATTCAAACTCGTTTGTTATTCTTGTTTCTCAAGAAATGTTGTCATGATTGTGCCTTACAGACTTTTTGTAAAAGCTGCACATTGTTTAAAAGTGATTTCTTGGGTTTTTTTCTTCCTGACTTATTTTCCTAGACTGATCCTGTTGGGAACACTTATGTTTGGAACACGAGCATCAAGTTTTACAGCCAGTCAAGGTCCACATCTCCTTCCACTTCTAGTGAAGCTGAGCCAGTTAAGGTGCCTCATTGGAGCAGCCTTGCTCCCCAACTTTACACTTGTGTCAGGAAAGAGGGAATTGAAAAAAAAAGTGAATTCTGTCTCATCAAATACATTGTGTCATAAGTTACAGTTTATTGGAGATCATTACATTTAACTGATAATGTATACAGAAATGCTAAATAAAGTAAAATTTGTCTTCAAATATTCACCTGAAATAGGCAAAATTTTATTAACTATATAGTCTTTTTACTTAGAGAAATATATAGAACAGAGGATAGATTTTTGTAAATATTGGAATTATAAACTCTATAGGCATATGGCCATGCGATGCCATTCTCATATTAATTCTAATTTAATAAGCCATGATATAACTTATCTGCTGTGCCATAAGCACAACTTAAAATTAAAACTGCCACTATTGGCCGCTTAATAGTTTATTCTTTCTGCTGAATCAGCCATAGACACTCACTCAACTAAATCAGCCCTTTTAATACTTCCGCAAAAAACGGTTGTGTTTACATTTCATGTTAGACGATATGATGTCTTTTAATGGCCACTTGGCCAGTTACAGCAGCCAAACCATTTCCTACACAAGTCAGAAGAGCATGCCCTGCTTCAGTTCATCTGTCCTGCCTCACAGCGAATCCTGACTCTTCATGGAGCATCACAGTCAGGCACACCTCCTCCTCAGCGTCCCTGCTGTAATCCCCAGAGCTGGGTCTGACTTCTCACTGAAGTCAACACCCAGTCTGAGGAGCTGTCTGCAGTTAAGTGTGAGCTATAGCTCTGACTTGTGTCCCTGTGACAGAGCCCTCAGATTGGTTAAATTGATTGAGACCCTTTGATTTTCTAGTCACAATTGTTTTAATAATTGGAGTTAATTTAGTTTTACTTCAATGATTAAATATTTCAGGCACATGCAGAATAATATAATAAACACCCTTGTAACTGCCACCCACAAATTTAGCAGATAAGAACATTTTGTCCTGTTTTTCCACAGAAAAAATATTCCAGGAACAGTTCAAACATCCTCCCCCATACCATTCCCCTCTCTTTTTCCCCCAGACATACCTAAATATATCTGGTGTGCATTCTGCCCTCCTTGGTTTTACATGTTTATTTGTGTTCATAATTAATATGTGGTGTTTGTCACATACTTAAAATTTACACAAATGTCACCTGTATCCTTCTGCAACTTCTTTTCATTTTAAGTGTGCTTTTGAGATTTATTTATTTAGACACATGTCCACTTAGTTCATTTATTATAACTGCTACATTATGTTTCATTGTATGAATATGCCAGAACAATTTATCCATTCTTCTTTTGTTGGATATTTAGGTAGATTCCAGTTTTTTAATTACTACAATCGATGTTGAAGTGCACATCCTAGTATCTATCAGTTTTGGAAATTTTGCACTTTGTTTGGTATATATAAGTGGAATTATTGGGTTGTATGGTATGTGGATTTTCAACTTTCACTAGATCTTGATAAATTGTTTCCACGGTGGTTGGATCCATTTTCACTCCCACCAGCAGCGTGTGAGAGTTCCCCATTTCTCCACATCCTTACCAACGCTTTCTACTGTCAGACGTTTAACTTTTACCAATTTGATGAGTGTAAAGTGGTGTTTTTGTTTTTAATTTGCACTCTTTCTGTTTCCTAATGTTCTTCAGCATCTTTTTCTTTCTTGGCTGTTGATTTGCTTGTTCATATCCTTTGCCCATTGTTGTACTGAACTATTTTTCTTGATTTTTTTCAGTTGTTTTTGTGATGTGTTCTATATATTTTTTGAATACTAATTCTTTGCCAGCTATATGCATTGCAAATATTTTCTCTGTGGCTTATTTTTTAACGTTGTGATATCTTTTTTTCATGTACATCTTTTCATTTTAAAGTAGTCAGTTTTATCTGGTATTTAGTTTATGACTTCTGCTTTCTGTGTCTTCTTAAAGCATTTCTTCATCACGCAGAGATTATAAAGATTTTCTTTCATATTTTCTTCTAAAAGTTTAAAATTTTTGCTCTTGTTTAGGATCTTAGTCAAATTGAAATTTATTGTTATGAATAATGGGAAATAGGGATCTAATCTTTTTTTTTGCCACATAAACAACTGACTTTTCTTAATTCACCTCCTTTGATTTGTAATACTACCTTTTTTCTTTTTTTTATGCCTGGGTCTGGTGGGGGCCTCCCTGTTCTTTTCCACTGTTCTTTTGATTGTTCCTGCACTGACATATTTTCATAATTACTGTACCTGAAATAATTCTTGACACCTGGTATGGTGAGCCACCCCCACCCAACTTAGTCTTTTTCTTCTTGACCCTTTAGTTTTCCATATTACTTTTAGGGTTAGCTTGTCAATTTCCATGTGAGACTTTTGATTGGAATTGCATTCAATTTATAGATTTATTTGAGAGAATCAACATCTTCATGATATTAGGCATTTCCATCTGTGAACAAATATAGTGTGCATAGTAGTTAGGTATCCTTTTACATCTTTCAATAAAGTTTCATTACTTCCAATATATTCCATACTACTTATTTGGATTTGTTCCTAGATAACTTAAATTTTTTGTTGCTATGGTGCATTAGATCCTTTTTAAATACATTTTTCATTATGCATTTCTGATCTTTATAAACTCCTGTTCTTACAGCTTGCACCTTTATTTGACTCCTTTAATTTTAATAATTTCTCTTGAACTTTCTGTAGAATACTAGCCATAGTGTTGTTCCCTGTTAATTGTTTTTCATTTATCTTTATGTAGCTTGTCAGTGTTCTTATTGAATTTCTGTACTCCTCAAATGTTAAGTTTGTATGTTGGGTTCAAAATTTTTTAAAACTGTCAAAAGTAAATAAAATTTAAAGTATAACTAAACGCACAATTCCAAGAAAACTGAGAAACTAAATTCCATCTTAACGCTATAGTATATGTAAAATAGTTTATTTTTGGAGGTTATATAGTAACAGGCAAAGAAGGACCATCCATTTATCTTTTAATATTTTTAAATGTTCTGTAACTTTGTGCAAGGATTAGCTGGGGTTTTTTTTCTTGATTGATTGCTTTTAACACCCTAAAAGTAAGTTCCTTATGTCTCTTTTTAGGCTTTACTAATTAAACGACTTCCTTTTCTCCACAATAACATCCAGTAAAATCACTAATTCTTTTCATTCAAAGAAATACCTTATCCCATAAAATAATACTCTTACCTACTAATAAAGATACGGTTTATAGCTAAACTTGTATGAAATCCAGAATTCCAATAATAGTAAATAATTTAACTCCCTTATTTGGAAAATTAATTTCTGCACAAAAATTCACTAATTTTTACCTGTATATCCAAAGTCAGGGTTATATTCTATATATGTTGATATGTCTTCTAAATATGGAAGTCAGGTGTTTAAAATAATCTTCTAAATATTTTTATTATAACTCTTGTTAAAACTCAAATACTTTTTAAAAGATCAATATGGCAAATTCATAAGAATGTGAAAATACCCTCATTTGTATGTAGGCTACCAGCTGTAATTTTTTTGTTTTCCAATGGATTTTCTTTTTCAAATTACTTCTTTTTAAATTTCCAGATTAGAATAATATTTACTAATTGAAAAGTTTTTTCATTCGTAGATATTGCAGGCTGAAATTTATCAATACTATGAGAGTTTTAATTTGAGACTAATTGGGAGAACTTTTTGACTTACTGACATTTTGTTTATATTTACTTTGGTTTCTCACTAGTTATGTTTGAAATAAATGAAGTTTTTATGATGTTTATTTCCTTTTTGCCTCCCGGCTTCAGATTGCAGACTGTGCTCCACTTCCCGTTCACACACCGACCTTAAGGAAAAAGGGATGCCCTGGCTCATCTGGCCTTGCACCTAAGGTATTCAGTGTATTATAAGCATAGTTTGTTTCCCAAAAAAGTGAGAATAGATTTCTTCTGCTTTGTGCCTTTCCTATGATTTTGATACTGATTTCTTCAAAGTGCCCCCCCCAAAAAAAAGCTTGGAAAGAAAATATATTCCACATGAGTTAAAATAATCACCACTGATAATGGCAGGAAGAGTATACAGTTTTTTTCTTTTTATCTTAAATTCAGTGTTTCAAAGTCTGTTAAAGTAAGGAGTAGTGTTTCCTCCAGGTACTCCTCTTGGCTGTTGCCTGAGGGAGTCATTAAATTGAGGCCACTCCTAAGTAACCGATTCTGTTCAATGTGACTGTAACTCAAATAAGCACAATAAATATCCTCAAAAGGGTAAAACAATATAAGGAAGGATAAGGTAGTTATGAGAAAAAATACATTGGAAATACTTGACATAAAAGAAAAATACTTGCTGAAATAATACCTCAATAGATGGCTTCAAAAGTAGAATGAAGACAGATACAATAGAAAAACAAGTTAACTAGTATGGAAGATAAGACAAAAATGTGAAAGTTAAGATATACATGACATAAGTAGTGTCAACATTCATATAGTAGGACCTTCAAAAGGAAGGAAAAAAATGGAAATGAGGCCAATTGAAGAAATGACTTAAAATTTCCCCCAATTGAAGATGAAAAAATCTCACATTGAAAGGCATCACTAGATGTTAATAAGAATAAACAAGAAAAACTCACACTTGGATACATTATAATAAAATGTAAAGGTATCATAGGTCAAGAAAAAATTCTAAGAACTTTCAAATAGAGCAAATCATTTGCGTAAAAGTCAAGTTCATATCTGGCTTCTCATCTGCAACACTAGATACAAAGAAACAAGTGAAAAACATGTTCAATTATTGAAGAACTTTGAATCTAAAAATTTGAACCCAGGTATGCTCTCACTGAAATGAGAGCAAATTAAAAATATTTTAGGTATACAAGAACTTAGAAGGTTTACTATTTAAAAAATCTTATTTAAAGGTATTTTTGAATTGCTTCATCAAGAAGAGAAAAGCAAGAGGCTATCATGAAGAATTTGGGGAAAAGATGAATAGTTGTCTTAAAAGACTTTACTGTGATCTACAAAAGCCAAAGAAAATGAAATGTATATTCAAAACAGACTAGAGCAGATCTAAATAAAACACAGTAGGAAGTTAGTATACGGATCTGGTAAGGTGAGTGTACTAGTGTACTTGTCTGGAGAGAACATGCAGAGACGGTATAGCTTGGTGGTTCATGTGGTAAATTCTTGGCAAGAAAAAAGTGAAAGTTAAGATGTACGTGACAAATAGTGTTAACATCTGTATACTAAATTACAATCTTCTACTAGCTCTGTGAACTTGAGCATGCTACTTACCTTTTTATGTTTGCATTTCTTCATCAAAAATGTTGATAGCCAGGGATATAGCTCAGTGGTTCTTGCACCTGCCTCACAAGCACAGGGGCCTAAGTTTGATCCCCAGTAGCAATAATAATAATAATAATAATTATTATTATTATTATTATTATTATTATACTATCTATTTCATTGGATATTATTATACTACCTATTTTATTGGATAGTTTTGAGTTTTAGACAAGCTTAATATTTCTAAAGAACTTAGAGATCTGTACAGCACAGTATGTAGCATAAATATGTTTAAATAAGTGTTGATAACTCAGGAAATTAAGTTTGAGTCTTAAGTTGAAGGGAAAAAATAGATCAACAAATAAAAAAGTATAACTTTCAAACCTGTAGAAGGAAATGAAAAGAGAGAACACAGGAAAGAAAAAACAAAGAATAAAGGAAAACATGGTAACCTAGTACTCTTACCATGTACTAAATTATCTCAAATCATAATGGCTTTAAACAAGCCTTTTTAAAAAAAGATACAGTGATCATGGGTGTAGATTGACCTAATGAGCTATATAAACCAAGAACTGAGATAACTAAAGAAAGAAGCAGATTGCATGCAAATTAAAATTTGTAATGCAGCTTATCAGACAAACATTGCAGTAGAGAGGGAAATGCAAAGCAGAGAACAGAGGATTAATATCTACATATATCAAGAGCTTTTCTCAAACAAGATCCAACTATAACAGTAAACTGACCAAAAGCCAGGAATTAATAGACGAATATATCAACATTTTGAATAAATTAAAGAAGTTTCTTAAGTTTACTAGAAATTGGGAGAAAGCAAATTAAAGTAATAATGAGGCTTTGTTTGACATTCATAATGTAAATGTCTACATGTCTCCATTAACACATTTTGTTTAATGAAAATGTAAATAAATGCCGCTTTTTAAAAGCAATCTAAAAACATTTTTGAGTAAAAATATATCCCAGTACACCTTTAGAACCCAATGAGTAGAAGATTTTTTGAACTTGTAGAAGAGTCTTATTTAATTTTTGAGATGAGGTGTTGCTATATTGCTGAAGCTAGCTTCAAACTCCTGGGTTCCAGTGGACCTCATGCCTCAACCTCCTGAACAGCTGGGACTACAGGTACATGCCACCATGCCCAGCTGGCAGCATAGATTTTAAATCTGTTGAAACACCCTCCCTATTAAAAAATGAAAGATTAAAATATTTTCCATGAACTCCAAAATGTAGAAACAAATCACCAACGTCTGCAAGACCTACGTGATATTTAAAGTTGTGTTGGGGGAAAATAAATGAAGTTATGTTGGGGAAAGCTGAGGTAAAGCAGAGACTTGAGATAACCCAGCTACCATCAGGTACCCTGAGAAGTTTTGATAGCAGCAATTACTGTGAGGGAACTTTGCCAGATCCACTCCATGGTGAGTTATGAGGAGACAAGGCTGGAGGAAGAAATGGAAGTCCTAGACTTAGGGTTCTCCAAATTAACAAATCAAGAGTACCTTCCAATTTAGAACCTTGCCCGAAGGAAAACTGCTAGGAGTAGAGCAGGACAGAGGGAGTACATGAGTCCAGATAAATAAAAGAGAGTAAAGATAGCAAAATGTAAGGTCATTTTAAAACTTTTATGATTTTATGAAAATAACAGAATAGGGAATCTAGAGCCACGAAGCTAGAAAAGCTATCCTGGCCACACCTCCTTGCTCATTTCACTTATAATGAGCATCTGAAGAGGTACAGTTGAATCCTGTACAAATTATTATAAGGAAAAAAGGAATAAAGGGTGAGTTGACTTAGCAAAAAAATGAGACTGCAAAAAACTACAAAACCAGTGAAAATTATAGCAGGTAGTGGGTGCTGGGGGTATCCCGCAGTGGTGGGCACTGGTTCAACCCCTAGTACAGAAGAAAGCTGAGAGAAATATATTACAGAGGAAGGGAGTAACTAAAAGTTAAAAGAAAATGCCGGTAGGAAGGACTTGGGGCAAAAGGATTTTTTTCTTATAAATATTAAACTTCTATTGCTTTCTTTTATAACTTTGTATGTATTTCAAAATTACAGGCAAAAGAGAAAAGGAGAATTTCTTTGGCTACAAATGAAAATTAGATGTGAAATTACAAACATTAGATATCAGTATCTTTCCAAGAGTATTAATTCCATTAAATGAGATGTATGTAAAATACTAGCACCACTTTTGGCTGGTGCTTAGGAACTGCAGCAGCAATTACAAAGATATTAAGATAGTGTGTGTTCTGCAGAGTTGAATAGAGTTGAATCTCAGTGCTGCTTTGAGACCAACCAAAGACCTAAGAAACTTCTAGAAAGAGTGGTTTGAGGTTGGACCCAGAGCTCATGACCACTTGAAGTCCCAAGGTTTCACCCTATTCCCTGACTAGTAATGGTAGTCAGATCATTCTATTTAAAAAAAACAAACTTCTTTTCTTCTTCTTCTTCTTTTTTTTTTTCTAGTACTGGGGATTAAACCCAAAGCCTTTGCTCTGAGCTACATCCCTTGTCCTTTGTTTCATTTTGAGACAGATCTCACTTGTCTCTAAATTGCCCAGGCTGGGCTCAAACTTGAGATCCACCTTCCTTAGCCTCCCAGAGTATAGGAATTACTGTCAAAGACCCCCACACCTCCCACTGGATATTTTGTTAATATGATGTTAATCTCAATTGAAATAAGAATTACTTTATAACATTTTTATCAGAATTAACATATATTGAAATATAGAAAGTTCTTACTCTTTTAAATTAAATCACATGTGTAAAAGAGAAATGATTGGCCAAATTTGTTTGCATAGAGAAGTGGTTTTTTTTTTTGTTTGTTTTTTTTGGGTTTTTTTGATGCTGATATGTGCCAGTCATTGTTTGAAAGGTTTCTCTTATAATACTTAACTATCCTCTGAATTACATACTATTATGGACCCTGTTTTATAGATGAAAAAGTGAGATGCAAAGGACTCAAGGGTAACTTGCTCCTGAGTTCACACAACGGTATAGAGAAAGGGTTATATTAATTCATGTGCAATGAAAACATGCCAAGAGGTGATTTGGAGAAGACAAGAGTATTCCAAAGAGATGAAATCTCTTTGGCTTACAACCATGTAAATCATCCAAGACTTAGAAATCTTTACTACTGGCTTTTCAATAAGAAACTGTAAGCTGCCGTCTGTCTCAGGAATAATATGAGTGTATTTTTATCTGCTCAAGTATAGTACTGCCTCTGTCCATGGAAGAAAAGAGATTTGTGAAGCATATTATTTGTTCTTGCTCCCAGAAAATTAAATTCACAATATATAGCAGAAATAAGAATGTTATATATTATTTTTCTTCCTAAGAAGGTCTAAGGCATGTTATACTGTATTTACATAGGGATAAGTATACAAAATTTCACTTTTTGCTAATGAATAATTTGGAGACTTTAAAGAAATCCTCAAACCAAGATTTATGAGCAAAACCAAAACAATAAATTATCATTTAATTAATATCTTATACACTGTTATTTAGCTTAATCTAACTTAGTGGTATCTACTAGAACATTTAAATAGCATAAATTAAGATGTAAAAAAATGGAAAGAATTTATTGTATCTAGAAAACATTCTAGGAGGTAGTATATGCATAGGCACTAAGGAAATCCTTAAATAATGTATATGTTTATCAACTTGTTTTACAGCGCAAGACTCATCAGTTTTTTGTAAAATCTTTCACTTCACCCACCAAATGTCATCAGTGTACCTCTTTGATGGTGGGTTTGATAAGACAAGGCTGTTCATGTGAAGGTAAGTACAAAATGAAAATGAGATATGACTTGTTTAGGCACCACTTTATTTGTCCTAATATTTACTTCTTAAATTATAATCTGATAACTTTATTCTCTTTAAAAGGCATTCCACATTTATTTCACTTAGTTATGTGTTTTTCTCTAGATAACAAGAATGTAAACAATAAACTGAGAATCTTTCTAAATTCTGTTGAGGGCTGGGGATTTAGCTCAGTTTTGCTGCTGCCTGCCTTGCAAGTACATGGTCCTGAGTTTGATCCCTGGTACCAAAAAATAAAGTGTGTTGAATGTTGGTGACCTGTATGAAAGAAAGCATGAAAGTTATCCTTGGGTCTGTTGTATAATTACATTATTTATTAGAGAAATCATTGAGAAGTAGGCAACACTGTGGCTTTTCAGAAATACTAAGCATCTGCCACTATGCCTCAAAAGACAGTTATTCCTAGTATTAATAACAGAGGTTTCCCCTACCTATTCATCGATTTTTCTGTTGTGTTTATTATATGCTTCCTCTGTTTTGCTAGGCACTGGGGATGAAGTAGTGAATGTGAGGGAGAGAGGATCAGGGGTCATTGGAGCAGCAAACAAAGTATATTTGTTTAGATGCTCCTTTAATGTTTACCAATGCCTCCAAAATAAAAATTATTTAAATTATAGTGGAAATACTAGATATACAGATTTTTGATCAAATGACACTTGCCATTATGAAACTACCTCATACATGCTTTTCTGGCATATCTTATTAAAATGACAAGAAAATAGTTGCTAATTCAAATTCTAATACTAGTTTCTCTTTCTCTTCTGCTGTTAGTATTGGAAAGGCCTTTAGAAGTCCTTTAAGAGGACTTTAAAAGTGTAGTCACTCCCCATCAGATGCATGTGTTCTCCTTACCTGCAATTAGCCTGTATTTAACTACTTTGAGGAAAGGGGAAGTTAACAGTATACTAAGGCAATGTATTCTACATTTGATCAGTTCTCAGAACTGAAGTGGAAGATCTAGATTGCATTATCCATTAGATAACATGAGTTCAAAAGAGAAGAGTCATGGCAAAAGATTTGAGAGTTATGACTGTATAAGTCATGAATATGACTGCATTATCCAGAAAGCATGTGTAGATTGAAAGAGCAAGAACAGGGCCTTAGGAGTCACAGTTAAGGAAAAGAAAAGCACAAGATGACCAAGTAGTCTGAGAAGAAATAGCCTGTATCATGGACCAATGAGGTGTGACTGATGCCAAAGGAGAAACCTATACAGAGTTCTAGCTTTGTCTCATTTTGGACCATAGCCAGTTCTTGTCTGTCATTTTTCAATGCATTTATCAGAAGGAATTCTGGGCAGATATCTGGCTTTTTATCTATTTTTTTTTCTGGGCAGATATCTTGACCATTTTTTATTCATCAGAATTATTTGTAATAAGGACTTTTGTAGATCTGTATAGGCTCTCTTACCTTCTGACATCTTGTGCTGTGAAATTGTGCCTGTCTTTTCTTCAAATCTTTAAAGCCTACCTTATAATGCCATGGGGACATAGGACTATCCCCAGCCTTTGTCTGACAGGTTTTTGTAAATGTTATGATAAAGATTCTTGCCATTTTTACTTATCCCTGGATTAGATCCAGTACAGATACTTGCTTTGTTGCTTTCACTGCTCTTTGGAGGTGAGGGTTGTTTTGTTTTGTTTTGTTTTTTTCTTATCAGTAAAACAAAATTGTAACTTGTTAGAAATTCCACTTACATGAATTGAGAATTAAGATAGTTTTTTGTTTTTGTTTTTGTTTTGGTACCGGGGATTGAACTCGGGTCCTTGCGCTTACAAGGCAGGCCACCGAACCGCTGAGCTAAATCCCCGGCCCTAAGATAGTTTTTGACAGTACCAGTCCATCTTGCCTCTTAGTTTCATAGTGTCTATCATTGATGTGTAATCATTTCTCCCATGTGTATATACTCTCACAGTGATATATTGCTTCAGTTTCTTTCTTATTCTTTCTCCAGAATTCTCTAAGATTATTTTTAGGTGTAGAAATTGTAACCATTTGTTTGTTTGTTTTGGTACCAGGGATCAAACTTGGTAGAAATTGTAATCTTAAAAGTATAACTCCTTCCAATAAGTTTGTTTTAAATATTTTAACCTTTAATTTTCTCTTGTTTGTTTTTTCTTATCATCTTGTTTTAGAATCTCAAATCTACCATGTGAATATCAAATAAAAGGATTATTGCAATACTATGAGTAGCTAAATATGCAGGCTGTGAGCCAAACTGCCTGGATTTGAATTACAGCATTTCCACTTCTGAATTCAGTGACCCTGAGCAAGTCACATATGACATTGGCATAATAATTGTACCTGTCATACTGTCACAGGAAAATAAAAATGCTCAGTAAAGTTAATTATTAACCTAGCTGTAGTTTAAGTATGTAGAATATTATCACCAAAAATGTACCCTTAGTTCATACATTTTTAATCATTGAAAATTTTTATTTTCAAGAAGATCAGCAAAACTGTCCAGGTGTAGCAGAGATGTCAGCTTAATTTTCATAAGTGACAATTGTGGGAGAAATTTCAGGACAGATACCATATCATAGTAGGATGAAGAACTAGATAGAACTTCAGAAGCCACTTTCATAGGAATCATGATGTTAACAGAAAACAATATATTACAAATAATAAAAAATTTACTATTTCTCATTGAAATTTCTGTTGATACATAGATAAAGTAGTTTCTCAAATGGTAAAATTATTTAAAATAAAATTAAATATAAACATTTATAGCACCTTACATATGGTTAGTGCTCGGTGAATTTTGTTGTGGTGGTTGTTGTTAAGTGGATTTTTATTAATATTTTGGGTTCTTTCTCTCTCAAAGTGTGTGGATTCTCATGCCATATAACCTGTGTAAACAAAGCTCCAACTGCATGTCCAGTTCCTTCTGAGCAGACAAAAGGTCCCCTGGGTATAGACCCACAGAAAGGAATAGGAACGGCGTATGAAGGTCATGTTAGAGTGAGTATCATGAGTTCAGATCAATCATGAGTTTAGATCAATCCTTCAAGATTTATTAATGAATTAAAATAGTCACTTCACATAGTACTTGACAGAAAATTAAATAAAATTCATCAATTTTTCAATTTAGAGTAATGATTTGAAAACAAAAATTTAACTTTTATTTGTAAATAAATTCTAAAAACACTTTTCTGTGTTATTCCTGTTATGATGAACATATATTGAAATCTCCGTAAAGGAATTTTTGACCTCCAATATTGCCAAAGAGGTAGAGTATGCTTATGAATTGGTAGATATTATCAAGATGTAATCTTGCTGTCTTCATAATAATACTTGCAGTATATAAGCTGAATTTCATCTTATTACCAGATTTGACTTCTGTACTGTAAAGAAGCATGAATACTATGTTAATGGAATTACTTCTTTAAGTTCAATGGTACCATTTGAAACTCTTTTGGTAAAAGGCAAAAGTCCTTCACTGTTATTCTCTTTGTTATTAATGACATTCATGTCCCATCTGCTACTTTATCAACCAAAGTGGCAGATTTTAAATTTGTGCGTATTATCTCTTTAAGTTTTTATTCTGTGTTTACATAAGGAATTAAGGAGGCTGTCACTGACATTTTTATTTGAATTGTGTTTGTACCTGTCTGAAACAAAACTAAGATCCCTAAGCCAGCTGGAGTAAAGAAAGGATGGCAGAGGGCCCTGGCTGTGGTTTGTGACTTCAAACTCTTTCTATATGATATTGCTGAAGGAAAAGCATCTCAGCCCAGCGTTGTCATTAGTCAAGTTATTGACATGAGGTAAGTCTTCAGGGGTAAAAATGTCATTGCAGCATAGGAATAAAAAGTCTGTTTTTTTCTTTTAAATTGCCATGGTTTTGCTTAAATGATCTGACTTCATGTTGATTTTATAATTTGCTTATATGGCTGTAGTAGCATCATTAAATATATGAAGTAAGTTGTAATTGTACAACAGATTGACATGTGGGTTGAGTGTTTGGGCTAGGAGCCAAGGAATGGAAGCTGGTGTCTGGGACCAGAAGACCGGTTTAAAGGTTGTAGGGTATCTGAAGCCTAAGATGTAGTGTTTAAATCATCACCTAAAGGCACAGAGTATAATCCATTGTGAAGAAAGGAATAAAATCTCAGATCAGACAAGCTCTTGGAAAACATAATGAATCAGGGATCATTTAAATTAGACATCTCTCAGATATCTGTGGTCTTATTTTCCAGATTCTTGGAGTGTACCCTCTTTTACCTCTTATAACTCCAGGTGGTGTCCCTGAGGAATCATATCTTCTCCTATAGCTTCAGCCATCACTTCTGCCTTGATGACTCCCAGAGACATGTCTCCAGCTAAAAAATAGCCATCCATCACACAAAACCCACATTTCTAGCTATGCCTCACACAGGCATTTCAAATCTGTAACTCAAATGTATTATTTTCTCCACAAATATGGAATATGAAGGGACCAGTACAAGAAATATAAGCATTATCTGGCAAAACTTGCTAAGAGACTGAATATAGAAAGGGAGGGCGAGGTGCAGCTGAATGCACCTGTACTTTTAGTTACTCGAGAGGCTAAGGCAGGGGGATCACCTGAGCCCAGAAGCTTGAGGTGATCTAAGGCCGCATATAAGACCTTGTCTCTTAAAAAATAAAAATCAAAGACTAAGGTGTCAAGTTTTATGACCATGAAAATACAGTACCAGTAACAAAATTGAGGAAATCACAAGGAAGGAATTCCCCAAATCTGTTTTAGATTTTGAAGGAAAAATAAAATGTCAGATGAACTGAGTTGAGTACACAATGAGACTTCTTATGGGAGGCAAGAAGTTCCCCTGTGGCCTCTCAAGACCCTCTGTAAGATCCAAATCTCAGTTCTTCATATTTACTTTCCAGCCAGAATCTTTGGTTAAGCCAACAGTTATTTCTGGCTCTTTTATAATGTACAACTAATAAGTTACTCTTATAACAAATAATTTGGGTATTACCAGTATATGGGGAAAAATCATTTTATTCAATTCACTATTCTGTGAAATAGTTCAACTTTGAGGATTGCTTTATGTATGTTATTTGGTTACACAACCAAAATCATATACATATAGCTCTGTATATTAACTTTAAATGTTTCACTGTTTTTTTTAGAGATGAAGAATTTTCTGTGAGTTCTGTCTTGGCTTCTGATGTTATTCATGCAAGTCGTAAAGATATACCTTGTATATTTAGAGTAAGTGTATGCTATAATTTGATCACGTATTTTTAATGAATATGCTTTTCACCTCCATAAAAATCATAAATTTAGGAATACCACGAAATTATACATTTTCTATATGTTCCATATCATCCCATACTTGAATATATAGGAAACTGATGCTAAGTTTAATTAAGGAAAGACCTGTAGGAAGCTCTAAAAATATATTTCCTGTTAGATAATATTGTCAAGTCCTGATTCAGTTTTTAAATACTACCAATAGAAAACTGGGTAAATGTCAGTTTTCTTAAATTTTTTAAAAATAGAATTTTATCTTTTTATCATTTTAAAAATTGTGTTTCAGTTCATTACTTTTTGGGCTAGGGATTTAGCTCTGTGGTTCCAGTGCCTGCCTTGCAAGTGCGAGGACCCAGGTTTGATCCCTGGTACCAAAAAAAAAAGAAAAGAAAATTAATTACTTTTAAAATTTTGTACCAGGGATCAAACTCAGGACCTTGCTCTTGCAAAACAGGCATGGCACCACTGAACTAAATCTTAGTTACTTACTTTTCCTTATCAAGTACTTAAAAGTTTAATAGCTTACACAACTGTGATTTATCATTTTCACCTTTTTATGAATTAGCTGATCACTTCCTAGGGTGTTGGCTAAGGTCACTCACCTGGCTGCATTATCTGGGACTTATCTTGGGCTGGAATATCCAAAACAACCTTCTGTCTGTGGCCTTGGTGCTGATAGCTGGTGATCTCAGTCTCCCAGTCCTTGATGGCTGGCTTCCAAGAAAGCAAAAGAAGCTGCCAGGCCTCATGAGGAATAGGCCCAAAACAGTCCTGATAACCCTTCAGCATTCTGTTGATCAAAGCTGTGAGTCTCACATTTAAGGGGAAGGGAAATGGATTCTGCTTCTTGACCAGAAGAATGAAATCCATAGGAGGAATTGTTGACAGAGGCCATTTACCATATGATCTTGAAAGGGTAAATTAAGATAGAATTTTTTTCAAACTACCCTGTTGTTAGGCCCATCTGCTTAGTATATGTCTACTGACTGTCTAAGGAAGATCAGAGATGATACTTAGTCTGTTTCCAGACTGTCAATTATTTGTTCTGTCCTCAGCCACCAGGGGAACCTACAGAGAACCATTTATCTACAACTGATTGGCAGAGTGATTTTTATTGTCATTGATTCTTAAGGAGGGTACATATATAAAATAAAACATTATAAATGAGAGTGATGAGTCTACATATATAAAATTTAAAACTATTCTGATTAAGTTTTAGAATAATAAATTTTTGTTCAAATACTAACTCAAATGATCTAATCTTGGGATGGGGATTTAGCTCAGTGGTTTTGCCACCTGACTCATGATCTAATCTTCTTTAATGATAATATAAATTATTTTTATGAAATACCAGAGAATATACTTGTGAGCATTCATGACTTTTAAAACGGTATAGTGTAACGCATAAGAGTATGAATATAGGGTGGTCCTAGACCTCCACTGTATGCCCTTGAACAAATTAAATTTCTTTTTATCACAGTTTTTATATGTAAAATAAAGATTGAATAACAGTTTCTGTCTCAAGGAGTTAAGAAGGTTAAATGTTTAACATTTGTAAAGTGTTTAGACCTCTCTGATGTTCAGTGATGATAAATGTCAGTTGTTATAGGACTACGTGTAATACATTTTTTGTGAAGCCATTTTGGTACTCCTCTGGCAAGGAAAATAAAAATGACGCTTTAGCACCTTGAATGGTATCTCCTACCTTTGTCATGAATTAGTGTGTTAGAACTAGTTTTTCTGATTAGGAACAGCTGAACTCTGCTCAAGGTGTCATTTAATGAATGCTCATACTATTGGTGAATGCTGAATAAACTAGCATACCATGAAATTGGCATCATCATATCATAAATATTGATTAAATTTTCCCAGGTCACAGCTTCACAACTCTCAGTACCTAATAATAAATGTTCAATCCTGATGCTGGCTGACAGTGAGAAGGAGAAGAGTAAGTGGGTAGGAGTGCTCGGTGAATTGCACAAGATCTTGAAGAAAAACAAATTCAGAGACCGCTCAGTCTATGTTCCCAAAGAAGCTTATGACAGCGCTCTGCCCCTTATTAAAACAACCCAGGCTGCTGCAATCATAGGTATGAATTCATAATATTCATTTTATTTTCATAATTGTTTACTGATCTACCTTGTGAGCTGGAATTGGCTTTTGTCTGGGAATCCCCAGTGTCCAGCATAATATGCCTTCTATCACAAATGTTCAGTAAGTTTTTATTGAAACAAATGAGACCGATACTAATTTGTTTTTTAGCTGTTACACTGTATAGTAAACGTATATTTTCTTCCGAAAAACTAACAGTGCTAAAGATTAACCTACTCATCTATTTTCTACTTGTGTAAAATAGAAAAATTAATTTCTTAGAGTATAAGTTTCATGCACAATACAGACAATAATTACCTTTCTAAGGTTATTGAGAAGTCTAGAAAATGTGGAATACATAGGTAGAGTACCCTGCGGTAAAAATGCCCTCAGTAAATGGCAAGTTAATATCTGAAAGTTTAAATTTTTGCCATATTCTTATATAGTTACTTACACACTCAGTTCTTTTTACTTTCTCTTAACTACTGAGAAGTTTTATAGTATGGTTCAAATACTTTTCACAGTCCTTCCCTTTCAAAGCAACACATGGAACTAGACCAGGCCACTAAAAAGCTAGATTTTTCTCTTTTTTTAATCATTTATTAAATAAACATTTACTTGTCTTCATAGGTATTGATACAGATTTTTAAATGTTATATTTTAAAAGGCATGAAGTATTTACCACTGTAATCTGAAAGATTTCATAGTGTTAATTGTTATATTTTCATTACTTCCATTTTTGCACCAAAATTTATTATCTGGTTTATTGTTGGCTTTTTGTGGTTCTTTACCTAATAAAAATATTGTATATGTTTGTCTTACATAGATCATGAAAGGATCGCTTTGGGAAATGAAGAGGGATTATTTGTTGTGCATGTCACCAAAGATGGTAAGAGAAACTCTAATTATTTTTTTAGCAATTTTAAATCGTCTGTTAGAAAATTCTCGAGTCTAAATTCTAAAATGAGAAAAGTTTGCTCTTACTATTCCAAACCTGAAATTTCTAGGTATAATTTCATAATATTTCTAAATCAAAAGATTAAATTTCTTTAATCCCCTTAGATTCTAAAACTTTAAGTACATATTATCTCTGTGTCATTTTGCTTAGTAAGTTCTGCTGTATAGATGGCATGTGGGAAAAAAGCTACAGCTTGATTTTCCAGTACTTTATTATTCCTATAAGAAGTACCAGCCATTAAAATATTTTTGTTTGAGTTTTATTCCCACAGTTTCATGCAACAGGTTTTTTTCCTAGGGCAAAATTCAGTGTGGGTTGAAACGAAGAGAAACCAATTTAATTTTGTATGCATAGTTACAGTATTATAAGTCTATCTGTGTCAGATTATCTATTTATTTAAACTTGTTATCCATACAAACACCTTCATAGAAATATGAGTTACTAGTTACTCAATTTTGTTTTTGTTTTCTTTTTGATACTGGGGATTGAACTCAGGATCTTGTACTTGCAAGGCAGACATTGTGCCACTGAGCTAAATTCCTGGCCCTAGTTACTCAGTTTTTAAAATAGATGAAGGTCTTTAGAATATAGTACCATTAAAAAGATTTTTCTTGAAGATTTGCCATGCTTTTACACAATTCTTTGCTTTGGCTTTTCTGGCTACCAGAGTTCTCGATGCTAAATTTAATGTCTATGATAGGTGAGTTAAATGATCTTATAACGGGTTTAATTATCTTCCTTTCTTTCTATGATTTCTGACTTACTTTCCTGTAGTATATCTGTATCTTTTTCATAAATAGACATCTTTTTTAGTAAAATGGGAATATAATTAAAACTATTTTTCATTTAATTTATTATTTCTGTGTGTAGAAATTATTAGAGTTGGTGACAATAAGAAGATTCATCAAATTGAACTCGTTCCAAGTGATCAGCTTGTTGCAGTGATCTCAGGACGAAATCGTCATGTACGACTTTTTCCTATGTCAGCTTTGGATGGACGAGAGACAGATTTTTACAAGTTGGCAGAAACTAAAGGGTGTCAAACTGTAACTTCTGGAAAAGTACGCCATGGAGCTCTAACATGCCTGTGTGTGGCAATGAAAAGGCAGGTCCTCTGTTATGAACTATTTCAGAGCAAGAACCGTCACAGAAAATTTAAGGAAATTCAAGTCCCATATAATGTCCAGTGGATGGCAATCTTCAGTGAACAACTCTGTGTGGGATTCCAGTCAGGATTTCTAAGATACCCCTTGAATGGAGAAGGAAGTCCATGCAGTATGCTCCATTCAAATGATCACACACTGTCATTTATCACACATCAACCAATGGATGCTATCTGCGCAGTTGAGATCTCCAGTAAAGAATATCTGCTGTGTTTTAACAGCATTGGGATATACACTGACTGCCAGGGCCGAAGATCTAGACAACAGGAATTGATGTGGCCAGCAAATCCTTCCTCTTGTTGTAAGATTCTCTTTCCCATGGCTGTCTTACTGTCTTCCTTTCTTTTTCCTTCTGCTTTGTCTAAGTGTAGTCATTGTTAATAACAAGTTTTTTTTTAATCATTAAGATTTTTCCTACATACTTTGTTGTTTTTGCAAAGTAATCATATATAGTTAAACCTAGGCAAACAAGATCAGCATTCACATTGCATACTTAAAAGTAATGTTTTTGTGGTATATTTTACTGAGATGGATATTTTTACTCTTACATCTCTTCATTATCCCCCCAAATACAGTGCTGTATCAGTAGCTCACAAGACATTTTCTGGAGAAGTAAATTATTTAATCATTTATATAAAGGCATGACGTAGCATCGATAAGCAATGTTACTCAGCTTTATATTTTAATCTAGATAAACAAAATTGCTTATTTCACTCTAAAGAAATATTAAGACATTAACAAATAATTGAATACTGTTATTGTTAAATAATTCAATTACTATTGAATACATGTGATTTTACTATATGAGATGTCTCAGTGAGCAAAATAGATGCACTCTACCTTCACAGAGCATAGGGTGCAGTAGAAAAGAGTCATGGTAAAAACAAAAGTCACAGTAATAGAACACAAGTGCCATGACAGCAGATCTACGACTAAGATAGCATAGCGGAGGTAGAGAGTTTTTTCAGAAAATCTGAGAAAGCCCTATATAATGTCCAGCAGGTGGCAGCCATCAGTGAACCACTCTCATGATTTCTGTGATTCTCTATGAGTAGAGAAGGAAATCCATACAGATTTAGCATTCAGATGCGGATTTAGGAGTAGCTAATCTAAATTGCTTTTGTTGTAAAGGAAGATATATGGGTATGCTTGAATATTGATAGGAAAGAACCATTAGGAAAAGATTATCTTATCTGGGAAATACAGAAAATACACTAAGATCCCCAAGAGGGTCAAAGAGGATGAAGTTTATAACACAGAAAAATTATTTGGAGCAGGAGGTATGAAACCTCTTACATCTTAACAGGACAGAGGAGGAATGATAGGGTTGGGGCCCATTAACTGTAAAGTGCAGAGAGAGAAAGTTTAGAAGGACAATGAATACTTATTACAGAAAAATTAGGAAATTTATATTAAAAAAATGAAAAAAATCTAATCTCAACCCACCCAGTTTTAACTGTTTTTAATTTTTTATTTCTCCTGAAATAGATATTCTTACTTGTGGCACAGTATGTAGAATGAGTGCTGTTTGTAACTGACTCATAATAATTCAAAATATCCTAATGTTGAGTAAGAGGTAGACTGATATAATTTTTTATAGCTTTGTCAGTAATTAATACATAGTCTTAGTTCAGTTAAATCATTTTAATCTCTATTTGTTTGTGTCACAATTAATGTTCAGTTTTTCAACCAGTGGATGAGATACTGAGCATCTACCCTATTCATGTAACTATGTTCAAACACTATATCGTACATTTAACTGGGACTAGAACACTTAACCTGAAGATTTCTCCAATTTGTAGGTTTATGTCACTATTAATAACTATTCAAGAGTCAGATACTTTAAAGTGTAATGAAACCTCTTTATCCAGGCTAATGTTGGCCTAGGTCTTCTGTATTTTAAGTGCTATATAATGAGAATGGTGGTATGCCAATTCTTCCTTTACGATTTATGCTCAGTTTATTTTGAAAATGTTTTAATGTGGCTCTTACATGATAACACTAGGATTTGGGAGTTTCCACTGTACAGTTACTTAGGATAGACCTTTCAAATGATTTGGGCTTAATACTTCAAAGTAATCAACAAAGCTGTTACCTCTTTCCTTTCTTCCAGGTTACAATGCACCTTATCTCTCAGTGTACAGTGAAAATGCAGTTGATATCTTTGACGTGAACTCCATGGAATGGATTCAGACTCTTCCTCTCAAAAAGGTAATTTCACATTAAATACAGCTGATTAATTTTGACAGGTAGCTCAATATCATATTATTTGTATTGCATTTTAAGTTTCTCATTTATTGAGCTGGGCATGGTGGCACAAGTTTATAATTCCAGTACTCTGTATGGCTGAGACAGGAGGATCCCAACTTTGAATCCAGTAACTTAGCAAGACCCTGTCTGAAAATAAAAAAATACATAGCTCTGGGGATGTAGCCCAGTTCAAAGGCTTTCAATCTCCAGGATGGTAATCAGTCAAATCAATTAGTCAAGTATGATTGGTGTCGTGATGAACAACTAAAGTATATGCTACAAACTAAAATGTTGTTATCTTCTGCTTTTGGATTAAAGAGCTCTGAGGATGGGTTTGATTGTTATTATAACTTTTTTACATATTATATGGTGTTCAATTTTATGGGGATAAATTTCACGCAGTAGAAAAATGATTAAACTTAGAACCAAACTATGTTTAGGTGTCTCATGATTTAAAAACAGAGATTTCACATGTTCCCAGTAAAACATATTTTCCACTAACATTTTTCTTTTTCCATAAGGTAAAGCAAATTTATACAAGTATAAATGCAAAAATTAAGAGTAATAGTTTCATTTAACTATATATAGTACTCATAGCATGTGAATCATTAGTCGAGGGGCAATTTAGAAGACTAAGTGAATAAAAATAGCCGATTATAATTCAAAATGTGCCCCAGTTTAAAATTACTTCAGTAGTGAAATATTGTATATATATGAGGCATAGTCAAAATATATGGTGAATGTTTAATTATAGTAAAAGATACATTGCCACTAATTTCCTTCAAGGTGCTCCCCCGCATTTTGGAAACACTTACCCCACCATTCTTGCCACTTTGAAGCAGTTCTAGAAGTCCTCTTTCATGACTGTCATTTGAAATGTGATAAAAAATATGATGAATGCTCCTGCCCAGTGCCAATTGGAAGGGAGGCTTGTGAAAACATTTCAGTGTGTCTCTGTCTACCTTATTCACCAAAGTCAAAATGACCATAAGGGTGGATTCAGGACATTGAGGTAGCTACAATAGTGCAACTAAAGCCACAAAAGAAGACTTCCAGAACTGCTTCCAAAAATGGCAAAAACAATGGCCTGAGAGTGTTGGAAGTGAGGGAAAGGATTTTGAGGGGGATTAATGACAGTGTCTTTTACTGTACTTACTTTTAAAAATTTAAATATTCACCCAATGTTTCAAGCATACCTAAAGCAACTAAAATACTCCCTGCTTTATAAATTTGGGCTGTCTATGATCTGTTTGTTTGTGTTTGATTTGGGTTTTTTTATTGTTGTTTTGTTTTTGTTTTTGCCTGGCTCTCTTCACTCTGTGTTTATAAGATTCACACACTTTGCTACATGTCGTTGCTTTTTCACTGCAGTAGTCTGATGAGTGATTATGTCACTGTTTATTCTGTGACTGGCAGACATTTATTTCCTAGATTTTTACAGCTCTCAGTGAGGCTGTGTATGTCTATTGCTGTAGGCATATAGGAGTTTCTTTAATTCCTACGTGGAAGAGTAGAACTGATGGGACACAAGGAATGCAAGTGTTCAGCTTTGTGAGAGAGTATTATCTTTCCTAATGTGATAGTACCAAGTGATAGTCCCATCAATAACGTATAAAAGTTTTAAATCCACATCCTTTCTAAGACTTGCTGTGGTTAGAATTCATAGTTGTATTAATAGGTAGGAAGCAGCATTTCACTGAATTATTAATTTACATGTCCCTGATTTACTGTGTGATTGGGAATCTTTTATTTATTCATCATTCATATTTCCTGTTCAATGAAATGTCTGGTCATGTATTTTTCTTATTTTTTTCCCTTGCATTTGTCCTATTGCTCTTCTTGAGTTTTTGTGCATTATTATGTAACGTGGTCCTTGGGTTAAACCTGAACTCTGTTTGTGACCTATCTATAGTATTCCTTTACGGTATATTTTACTGAACCAAAGTTACTGATTTTACTTTAATTAAACATGTTTTCCTTTAATTAAACATACTTTAAATAAGCAGATTTGTCTTTTTTCTCTTCTTCAGGAAGCTTTCCTATTTCATGATCATTTTCTGCAAATGTTTTAAAGTTTTGCTTGTTCCATATATGCCTTCAATTCATTTAGAATTCTTTATTCTTTTTTATTTTATGTATATAGTTCCAAGCAGGAATTCATTTTCATTGGTTCCATATGACCAGTTGCTCCATCACCATTTAGTAATGGACCTTTCTTTTCACAGTCCTCTGCACTTTCTTCTCCATCATATGTGGGCATTTAGTATTTGGTGATAAGAATTCATACAACAGCTGTGTTGATATCACCTGAATATAATTATTTGCTCATTAATGGCTTCACAAAGTCAAATTTAAGGTTTAAATGTATTTTGACATAATTTTATTTATTTGCCCAGGATCTACTTTTTCCAAAGTATTATTTTAAATTTGTTCAAATTAGATGTTACTGTGCCTTCCCAGACAGAATTATCATTTCTTGTTGATTTTCTTCCCAAGAGAACTCTTAATTTAAAGTAGATAAATGAGAGGTCTTAACAGTCATCCTTTATAAATAGGTCAAAAGATTGTCATTTGTCTTAAAGGTTTTACTGAAATATTAATTTTATTTTTTTACTATTTTAGGTTCGACCTTTAAACAGTGATGGCTCATTAAACCTATTAGGGTTGGAGACCATTAGATTAATATATTTCAAAAATAAGATGGCAGGTAAGAAAATACATTAACTGGATAGCTTCAATGCAAATATCTCTCAGCTGACTTCCCAAGGTCTCATGAATATTAAGTGCCAAAATGCAGATTTAAACCTAGGTGTGTCTTACTCTAGAGTGTGTGATCTTGGTGACTGTCAAACTGTTAATATATATTAAGATAAAGTGTTGAGCAAAAGTAACTGTGTTTAAATTTTATATAGCTGTATAAGCAGACTATCTGATTCTGACAAACCTTGTTATTTTTCTCAGGAGTACCGAGGTAAGTAAAGAAGGTAAAGCTGAACATGTCTTCTGTACTTTTAATACGATAACTTAACCAAAATTAGCAGCATGAAATTGTGGATACTCACCCAGAGTTCCAGGCGAGACTCCAGGAATCCACCTCTAGCCAAGGGCACCTCCAGCAGAGAGTGTAGCACTTCTGAAGTGCTGGTGATAACACTGAAAGGAACAGAGGAAAGAGGAAAATCAGAAGAATGCCCAGAATCGGGGAGGGAATGGGAACCCTGACAGTTACAGACAAGAGAAAGGCATGTGGGCAGTGTCAAAGTAGTGAAGTGAGGCTGTCACACCAGAGATTGGCTACCATATACAAAATGCCGAGGAGACTGACCACATGAAACTAAATGTTTGTCATCAGTATGGGCCTGAGCGGTTAAAATATCTCTTTTAATGAATATTGTGCTCGTTTCTATATAATAAAGTCATTCTCATTTCATAGCAACAAATTTCTGCCTGACCAACATGTTTATAAATTTCTGATCTTTTATAGTGAATATGCTTACTAAAGATGCACTTATAGTAGTATACTTTGTATTTAAAATAATATTTGAATTAAATGTGATTTTTTTTCTTTTTTCTTGGTTCTGGGGATTGAACTCAGATCCTTGCACTTGCGAGGCAGGCGGCAGCATCCCTGGCCCCTAAGTAAAAATATTGTCATAAGAAAAATATTAAAATGTCTATACCAATTATGTATAGGTAGTGGGATTATCTTAATATCCTCCCATATTCCTCCAATAAACTTTTGTTTATTTACAGAAATCCGTCAAAAGTTTATTTTTATTGTCTTTTTTTTGTTGTTTATTTTTACTTCAAGTAGTAAAATAAACAAATTATTTGGCTTCTGGTTCAGTGCTTTTATCCAGTCCCAGAACTGGAGATTTAAAAGTCTGCTGAAAGGCTATCCCAGTATGACTTGAGAAAGGACATTCAGATTTTAGCAATAATTCCCACCTGGATGGATTTATCATGAAGCTAATGAAACTTAAGGTTAAACTTCTAAGACCCTATACTTAATTTTGTATGCTATTTCTTAGATGACCTCCAAATATTTGCATAAGATTGGATCTACTCCATCAAGGTCAAGAGAGTGGAAATAGCAATAGAGTCTTGACTTAATAAAGGAAGATAGTGAGCAGGATTCCTTATTGCACATGTCTGTTCTTACTTTATGTGACTGTACTGATCATCAGTGTGTCTGCACCCACATTGTGTCTATAGGACAAAACCTCTTCCACCTTGTGTTTTCCCAGACTTTCGTCTGTCACTCTAGGCCAGGAATAAAGTTAGAGCTATGGCATGGAGACCTGACAGGATTTCAGTGTGGTTGTCTTATCCTTTCAAAAAGGAAGGAAATCCTGCTTCCAAGAGGTCCTTTCTGTTTTCTATGTGTTGCTTTCTCCCCTTCCTCCAGAAGGTGCAACGTCTAGCTCTCCTGGATCTCTCACTGCCACCATAACTCACCAAAGTCCTCCTTTAACCTCAGAATCCCCAAATTCCAGAATTGTGCCTCACATTGTCATCCACTGTTTCCAGGCAGACAGCAGAACCACTGAGCTACATCTCCAGCCCCATCATCCACTCTTTAAAAATATGTCCTTTCAATGTTTGTTGCTGGCAAAGTCATCTGGTTAACCTACATGGCTACACTATAAGGAATGCTTTGTTGCTTATCATCTATTTTGATTTTCTGTAAGGTCCATATGAATTCTTTCCATAGCCTTCACACTTAAGGCTTTCTGTGTTAAGGACTTCTAAAGATTAACTTTTCTCTTTTTTCTTATCTTGCTTAGGTATAGCATCCCATCATGTAATATGGATACACTTGTCTGTTTTCTTCTGAGAATGTGTTCACAAAGTCTGGCAGGATTTCCCTTGCTGACAGTTTACTCTTTTTTTTTTTTTCTTTTTATTGAGTTTATTGGTACAGTCTAGGTATACAATACAGTTACATTCATCATTGGGATCCTGTACCTTTACATGATAGGTCTTGATTCTCATTTTTTCCCCTTGTCCCTGCCCTCCCTTCACCCCCTCCTCCCCTCCCCATTTACAAACACTTTATTTCCATTTTTTCAATTTCTCATATTTTTTTCCTCTCCCTTATTACCTTTCCCCCACCCTCCC